TCTATGAGATGGATCGATTCAGTGACTGGGGTAATCGGGATGGGTGTGTCAGAGGCGGTGCGGTTGGCGCAGGATAGAGCAGGATTTAGGGCTGTTGTGCATAGGGTCGCTATGAGTCAGAAACAACTCGACGGCACATAACAACAACAGCAACATATATTGCGATGGGAAAGTCTGCTCTTCGGGACCTCTCCAAAGTGCTGAAGAGCAACAGTGTCACTCTGGAGACTAAGGTGCACCTGATTCAGGCCATGGTCTTTGCAATCACTTGTTATGCACCAGAGAGTTGGACAATGACTAGGGAGGGTAGAGGGAGAATTTATGCCTTTGAGCTGTGGTGCTGGAGAAAAGTATTGAGGGTACCATGGACTGATAAGAAAACAAAAAGATTCATCTTGGAGAGGGTTAAATCGGGCTGCTCCTTGGAGGCAAGTAATCTGAGGCTCCATCTGACATACTTTGGACATGTTGCAAGGAGGGACCAGTCCTTGGAGAGGTACATCATGCTTGGTAGGGTGGAGGGACAGCGTAGGAGGGGAAGACCCTCTATGAGGTGGATCGATTCAGTGACTGGGGTAATCGGGATGGGTGTGTCAGGGACAGTGCGACTGGCACAGGACAGAGCAAGGTTTAGGGCTGTTGCACATAGGGTCACTATGAGTTGCAGGTGACTCGACGGCACATTACAACAACAACATATATAAAGAAATAAAAATTGAAACAGCAAATGTGGTCAGTAGATTGTTTACTGTGTACAAACATGCAGACCTATTCTGTCACAAATCTTTAAGGGTGTCTTTTTATTCACTCTTAGGTTTCCAATTTGTGTTTCATGCAATGTTAGGGCATCGGTTTCCTCAACAAGGCCAACTGTAGGAATGCCAAAATAGAATCTATTTTTTGCTCTCCTTACTGCACAGCTTTAGTTTGCTTGGCTCCACAGTCAACACTCTTGGCACCAGTAGCCAATAAATTAAAAGGCGTATTGCCGTGGGAAAGTCTGCTGTTAGGGACTGCTCCAAAGTACTGAAGAGCAATGGTGTTACTCTGGAGACTAAGGTGCATCTGATACAGGCCACGGTCTTTGCAATCACTTGTTATGCATCAGAGAGTTGGACAATGACCAAGGAGGATAGAAGGAGAATTGATGCCTTTGAGCTGTGGTGCTGGAGAAGAGTATTGAGAGTACCATGGACTGCTAGGAAAACAAACAGATTTGTCCTGGAAAGGGTTAAACCGGGTGTCTCCTTGGAGGCAAGTATTCTGAGGCTCCGTCTAACATACTTTGGACATGTTGTAAGAAGGGATTGCTCCTTGGAGAAGGACATCATGCTTGGGAGGGTGGAGGGACAGCGAAGGAGCGGAAGGCCCTCTGTGAGGTGGATTGATTCAGTGACTGGGGTAATCGGGATGGGAGTGTCAGAGACAGTGCGATTGGCACAGGACAGAGCAGAGTTTAGGGCTGTTGTACATAGGGTCGCTATGAGTGGCAAGCGACTCGACGGCACATAACAACAACTGTGCTGGGCAACACTGTTAAGTACTAAAATGTACTTCAAGACGTCGAAGATGTGTCTGCCTACATAGACAATGACAGGACTGGAGGACAGAAGAGTGGGAGTTCCGTGTAAGAGGCAGTGGGACAAGTCTTTCCTCGAGAAGCTGTAACACTACCTGTGTATAGAAAGGTGTGTGAAAATGTTGCATGCATGTGTTTACCAGCAAATCGTGGAGACTAGGTGGCAGCCTTGGGAGACAAAGGACTTTTTTTTAATGGAGATTATTTTCCTACGCGAAGATTGCTTTTCTTATCCAGACATCGAAGAGTCTGACAATATGACTTGCCACAACACGCTAGTTCATCTGGATACCTTCAAACCTGTCAATCCAACTTTTGCTTTTCATAGAAAAATAGTCTTTAAAGATGTGAAACGAGCTGTTTCAGACCGCAGGCGTAGCTATTACAGGGATCCTCATTGTTAGTCCAAAGATTTTCCTGCCTGGACCCTTCAAGCGTTGCCTGGGGTAATAACCCAAACCTGAGTTCACTGGTCTTCAGGAGATTGGTTTCGGGCTGGACTACATTTCCCATGATGCCTCTGGCTCAGCCTTCCTCGCGCCGCCTGCTGAACGTTGTATCCGCCAGTAGAAAAGCAGAATTTCTTGGGGCCGTTCATGATGACCAATGACCGCGGTGGTGGGCGGATCTCCTCTCGTCCATTGTTCTCACTGCCCCACGGGCTGGAGCCGTGGTGAATCCCGAGGGGCCCAGCCGTGGCCAGGGTCTGATTTGGTCGCCCAACAGCCATCGAGCAGGACTAGTCTTCCGAGAGGTGAGCCCCGAGAAACAGGCCTGGAGCTGCGCGAGCCCAGGAGAGTAGCCAGAGGCGAGGGAATAACGGGCCTGGGGCCAGCTGCCCGCAACCCGCTGGGGGAGGGGCGTCGGGGTGCTGTCCGCCTCCCGCTGGCCGGGGTCGCCCCGATGTGCGCGCTTGGCTCGGCTGCCTGACCAGACTCTCGTCCTCACTTTGCAAATCCAACGCAGAGGCACACGTTGAAATTGGAAGACACCGGATAACATCCGCGCAGCCTCCTGATGTTACACACCGGGAAATTGAGGTTTAGAGGGAAAGTCACTTGCCCCAGGTCAGAGAGAAAATGAGTAGTTAGTTGACTCTGAACCTTTTCCCCAGGCTTCTCGAATAGTAAATAATTCCCATATTGGACCTGTGTTTCTTGCAGTCACTTGTGGAAATACACATTGAGGGCTTAAATTTTTCCTCTAATTCCACTTCTTTCCTTCCCCCGCCCCCCTTTAGTTGTTGTTCTCGAAGTCTTTATGAAGTAGTGAGGAATTTTAGAATAATATTTTCTTTTATAATTTTTTAAAAATCATTATTAGTTCTGCCACTTTGAATATTTTTTTAGAATTTAGGGAGTCACACACCCCCCCCCTCCATCGTGTATGTGCTTATTTTAAAAGGAACTGGGGTCATATCGTATCTATAGCTTTAGTAACGTACTCGTTTGGGAGGGTTTGGGGTTTTTGTATTGTTCTGTTTGTTTGGGTTTTGATTGTTTGTGGGAGTTTTTTGTCTCTTCATAGTATGAGGATTAATTTAAGACATAGATGGTTTACAATCTTTCTCACCATGATTTAAAAAGACATTTTTAAATGCATATAATAGAGTACACAAATCTTAAATTTCATGCATGTTCTCTGTGCATCTATTATCAAATCAAGCTTCAGAAGGTTCTTTTGATTCCACTCCCTGTCAGTACCCTCGGAGACACCCATAATTATGTCAGCATAATTTTAAGAAATAAATACTACCAATGTATGAATGTGCTATAATTTCTTAATTATTCCCCTGCTACTGCATCTCCATGCTTTTTTCCCCTCCTTCCAGTTAAAATTAGTGTTGTTGTCCTTGCAAAGAAATTTATTTACAAAGATGATAGATGATTATTTTTTACAGTGAACCAAAGTTGACTGTGAGCACGTAAAAAAAGAATTCTTCTTTAACCATTGGTAATAATGCATTTGAAATAAGTCTTCCTTTTAGTGAGACTTAAAGCGCCTTGACAATCTGATCCGTTGCTAATCCTTAAGATGTCCCTGTAAATTAAAAGGGTGGGTATTATTATCTCTATAGGTGATCATTGAGATTGAGTGTAAATGATGTGTCAGATCAAGGTCACTCACTCTGCAGCAAGTCCAAACTGACTTAGGACAGGGATACCTCAGTGTTCCTCAGCATTTCTTCAAGGGCTTTGAATTTCTGATACTCATTCTTTGATCTTTTAGAAAGAAATATCGTCTACTTTGGCACTTGTGATGCTTCTTAATCTTGTCATAGAGAAAGGTTTTCAGGAACAAGCCAGTCTTTCTTTAAGAAGTACAGGAAATCTATGATAGTGTGTCAACATAAGAATTCCTTAGTGACCTGAAGTAGGCTGTGGGGAGTTGTTTTAGGGCAGTCCGCTCACTGATTCTGGCTCTTTTTCTTGGTTCAGGACTGCTTGTTGATATTTGAGGAGGGGCCTATCTTCTCAGAGAGGGACTGGAGAAGACTGAGGTTCAAGGCTTGAAGACAAGATTGATTGCCCCAGAAACTTTAGATGATGGCTGCAGAGATGTCCAGAGTGAGCACACCTCTGCTCCCCTTGGCCCAGGGACCTCTAGAAGAAGACGAACAGGAGGAGGTCACCACCATGATCCTGGAGGAAGACTCCTGGGTGCAAGAAGCTGTTCTGCAGGAGGATGGGCCTGAATCTGAGACCTTTCCCCAGAATGCCAGCAGAGGCAACCCAGAGGAGGAGGTGGGTGGGGAGCCACAGGGCGCACTCAGTCGCCTTCGAGAACTCTGCCGACGCTGGCTGAGGCCAGAGGTGCACACCAAGGAGCAGATGCTGACTGTGCTGCCAAGGGAGATTCAGGCGTGGCTGCAAGAGCATCGCCCAGAAAGCAGTGAAGAGGCAGTGGCCCTGATGGAAGACTTAACACAGACCCTTCGAGAGAGTGGTGAGATGTCAGACCTTTCAGGGAGAGGGTGGACGCACCCTTCAGAGATGGTGTTGGCAGGGGAGCAGGTGGTTATCTAGAACCTGGGCCATGTGGGCAGTCAGTATGTTTGCCTCTCTTGGTATATCACCATTGCAGAGGCAGCTCCAGAATTTCCATACAGAACATACTTAGAGAACTAGCCTGAATCCTTCATTTGCATAGAAAGCATAGGTTTACTTATGTGTTTCTTTAAGCTGGAGGCTTCCCAAGTAATCCAAATTAAGCATTTGTCTGCCAGCTGAAAGGTTGGCGGTTGGAACCCACCAGCAGTTCCAGAAGAGAAAGGTGAGGCAGTTTGCTTCCCTATAAACTTCAGACTCAAAGGCACTGCTGTCAAGGTGATTCTGACTTCTGGTGACCAGGGCTCCAGATCTTAATGGGAAGAGACTGCACAGGTAGTCTGGGGTTTGTAGCATGCCTACAGATTACACCACTAGAGTTCTGTGAAGACTGATTGCCTTGGAAACCATATAGGACAGTTCTGTTCTGTCTTATGAGGTCACTGAGTTGGCCTTGACTCAGTGGTAGGTTTTCTTGGGGAAGCTGATGTCGGTTATGGTGGGGAGATGACACCCTGGACTTGATTATCAGATATTGCTATCAGATCATCCTGTACCTCTAGCACTGTTGTAGGGTGCTTGGCCCTCAGCTGTCATTGGTCTGATGAGGACTGTAGTTCAGAGAAAGGAGCAGCTAGAGGGGACAGGGTGGTCAGAAGTGGCCTCACTGGGATTGGAAGCTGAAGGAGGTTGCAGACTGGGATAGAATTTGGAAAGGTTTAGAGTGGTAGAAGGATGTGGTAGCAATACCAGCAGGGTTTAGCAAATGTTCTGAAGGGGGAGACAGGTAACAGTGATTGGATCTAATAGGAATGCAAAATATATTTTTTAAAAGTAGTAGGGAGTTTGGGGAAAGGGTGGAGGGACACTTGGACAGAATGTCACTGGCCTCAGCAGATTCTTAAACTAGGGCCCAAGGGGCATGGGAGGAAGCTGTGTTTGGCAACAGGATGTAGGTTTGATTAAAGTAGGGAGAGGCTAGAGGCAGCAGAGCAGCCAGGAAGCCTCCCAGTCATCCAGGTGTGGATTGATGGGGGTTTGGTCTGAGATCAGGAGATTGGGCATATCTGAGAATGACTGATAGTAATGAAATTTGGCAACTTCTTTCTGTGAGGCAGGCAGTCCCCTTAGCATTTAATATGTACAACTCAGTTAACTTCACCACCTTGGTCATTAAAAGCAGGATTTTTTTCCAGAGAAGTGATCACCTGAAGGGCATGCATCAGGTTCAAGGCAGAACAGAACCACATTTGAGCTGACTGGTCTGAGGACATGATCAGGCTCTTGACATCTCATGATACTGAGATTCTGTCCATGCGTCCCTCCACCCTTCCCCTAAACTCCCTGTTGTTGTTGTTGTTATGTGCCATCGAGTCGTTTCCGACTCATAGCGACCCTATGCACAACAGCTCTAAACCCTGCTCTATCCTGCGCCAACCGCACCGCCTCTGACACACTCATCCCGATTACCCCAGTCACCGAATCAATCCATCTCATAGAGGGTCTTCCCCTCCTGCGCTGTCCCTCCACCCTCCCAAGCATGATGTCCCTCTCCAAGGACCCGTCCCTCCTGGCAACATGTCCAAAGTATGTCAGACGAAGCCCCGGAATCCTTGCCTCCAAGGAGTAGCTTGGTTTAATCCTCTCCAAGATGGATCTGTTTGTTTTCCTGGCAGTCCAGGGTACATTCAGTACCCTTCTCCAGCACCACAGCTCAAAAGCATCCACTCTCCTTCTGTCCTCCCTAGTCATTGTCCAACTCTCTGATGCATAACAAGCGATTGCAAATACCATGACCTGTATCAGGCGCACCTTAGTCTCCAGAGAGACACCTAAACTCCCTACTACTTTTAAAAAACACACTTTGCATTCCTGTTAGATCCAGTCACTGTTACCATTAGTATGATACTGAGTGATCTTTTCTAGTGGGGTGTTGGAAGGAGGTGAAGTAGATGAGAATTTAGACAAAAATGATTAGTTTAGTAGCATCAAGGCTGGAGGAATTTGGATGACTGAGAGGGAAATGAAGATGGCTAGAGGGCGGAGATTGTGACAACTCCCAGGGTCTGATATGAGTAAATCTGTGTGCTGAAGGGACTAACAGTGAGGACCCCTTGTGAGCCCAGCTCTGTGCTGGCCATCTTACATGCCCATCTTATCAACAGTAGCAGGAGACAGATGATGTAGAGGAGGAAGTGAAGTTCAGCAAGGCTGAGCTCTTGCTCAGTGTCACAAAGCCAGTTGCAAGGTAGGATGCATTTAGCTCTGTTTGCCTCCACATGTGTTTGGTTAAGCCTAGGTTTTATTTTAGCAAAGTACTTAATTTCCTTCATCTCTGAACTTTTCCTTTTATCCTTCTTATACAAAACAAACCTCCTCATTCTATTTCAAAACTTTGTTTTCTTTTTTTTTAATATTATACTGATTTATTTACAAAGTTCAGATACATTGTTTTTCAAAAAATATTTTTCCCATTTATTTCATCCCCCTCCCATCAAATTGTGCAATTCTATGATTAACACCTAACCCCTGCCCAGCCTCAACCCTTTATTTCCACCCACCCCCCACCTGGATCTTCATACTCATTCTATAATAACAAAAACTGTTTTCTTGCTTCTTGATAAACTGAACTACAAGAAATATCACCAGAAAAGGAAAAAAAAAAGAACTATAGTTAGATACTGAAGAAAAGCCAAAGGGGTAGAGGACTAAAAAGAGGCCTAAGGAGTTGTTGTGTAGTAGTTGTTGTTTTTGTTGTTGTTTTTGTTAAGTGCTTTTGAGTTGTTTATGACTCATGGGGACCCTGTGAACAACAGGTCTGAGCTCTGTCCTGTCCTGTCCTGCACCATCCTTAACCATCCTCAACACATTTGATTCTACTGGCACAGGTGCTGTATCAACCCATCTCTTTAACGGTTTTCCTTTCCTTCACTAACCCTCCACCTTTCCAAGCATGATGTCCCTTTCCAAGGAATAGCCTCTCATAATAGCATGTCCAAAATATGGGAGATGAAACTTCAACGTCTTTGCCTCCAAGAAACACTCTGGTTGAGCTCTAAGATGTATCTGTTCTTGTGGCAGTCCATGGGATATTTAGTATTCTTCTCCAAAGCCACAACTTAAATGCATCCATTCTTCTCCTGTCATCATTAGTCATTATCCAGCTCTCAGATGCATAGCAGGTCATTAGAAAGAATCAAAGACTTGAATCAGGTGCACCTTAGTCTTTAAACTGATGTCATTGCTCCAAAGGACTTGGGAGAGGTTGCTGACTGCAGTCTTTCCCAGGATGTTTTCCGATTTCCTGGCTGCTGTTATCAAAGATGTTGACAGTTTCAAGCAAGATGAAACTGGTAACAATTTCAATCTTTTCTTCACCTATCATGATGATATGTATTGACCCAGTGGTGAGAATTCTTGTTTTCTTGATGTTGAAATGTAATCTGCAGTGAAGTCTGCAGTCCTTGGTCTTCTATAGCAAATGTTTCAGGTCCTCCTCACTTTCAGCAAACAAGATTGTTTCATCTGTATAATGCAGCTTGCTGATGAGCCTTCCTCCAGTCCTGATGCCACACTGTTTTTCATAAAGTCCAGATTCTGAATTGATGCTCAGCATAGGGATTGAATAGGTATATAGAGAGGATTAAGCCCTAACGCACATCATTCCTGATTTTAAACCATGCAGTGTTCCCTTGCTTTGTTCGGTCAAGAACTTCCTGGTTTACATACAGATTTCATGTAAGCATAATTAAGTGTTCTGAAACTCCCATTCTTCTCAGTATAGCCATAATTTGTTATGATCCACGAAGTCAAATGCTTTTGCATAGTCAATAAAACACAAATAGACATTCCTCTGATATTTTCTGGTCTCAGCCAAGATCCATCTAACATCAGTCAGCAGTAATACCCCTCATATCATGATCTCTTCTAAAGCCAGCTTGAACTTCTGGCATTTCTCTGTCAATGTACTGTTTTAACTGGTTTTAGATTCATTTCAACAATATTTTGCCTTCATGTGATATTGTGGTATTGTTCAGTAATTTCCACATTCTCTTGGATCAACTTTCTTGGTGATGGGAATAAAAATGTTTCTCTTCCAGTCAGCCATTTAGTCATAGAGGTCATCAAACTGGAAGGTCAAGTCTTAGCATGTGTCTTGGAGGTAATGACAAGCACTCACTGAACAGCCCTCCCCTCTGGCTTGCTGCAGGGACTTTGCATCTTTCCTCTTTTTTACCCCCCCAAAAGAAAAAAATTATCTTCTTGTTGATGAAATTGTCCACAACAAAATATTCAACTAATTTGACAGTTTGTTCATGTGCAGTTCACTGACATCGAGTCCATTCTTCAAGTTGTATGACTGCTTTTACCTCTTGTTGTTGTAGTGTACCATCAAGTTGAAACCAACTCACAGCTAACCCTCTGGCGGGTTTTCAGAGGCAGTTAATCACACAGGAGGAGATTTCCCATCCTTCTACTGTGGAGCAACTGGTGCATTTGAACCTCGTGCCTTAGGAATTGCAGCATAATTTCTTGCTACTAGACCACCAGAGCTCCCTGTTAACAAATTATTCTAATATTAACATGAACTCACTACCTGCTAAGTTTCTTCTCAAACCTTTTGAGTTGCTATTGTCAGCTTAGTTCCATATATATTGTTATTTTAAAAAATCCAATGCTCAAGGCAGACGTCACTAAATGAAACTGTTGATTGGTTTAAAGAAGACATCCAGGCATATTTCTGGTTTAAGCTTTAAGGATTATCTCAGGGTAATAGTTATAGGAGTTCATCTAGTCTCAGTGGCTCCAGAATTTGAAATTCTGTTCCACATTCCGCTCTTTTTTTTTTT